CCCCAAAAGGGTTGCGACCCACAGGTTGAGAACCGCTGGGCTAAACAATCTGTACAATGAACAACTGATGGAGCCTATATGCTTAGAAATAGGTGAACATTGGGAGTTCATTCGTTTCATGGTGGCTCCGAAAATGACTGAAGCTGTAATTTTAGGTCTAGCCTGGTTAGACAAATGGAAGCCTTTTATTTGGTGGGAAAAGGGAATGAGGACTGTGTGATGGCCCATAGGGCCCAAATCCCCTCTTAATTCAGCCGATGTTACTGGAGGATCCAGGCCAGCTACCGAGTTAGCAAAGATAGCTACCATGCCCCAGCCAGGCGAACCACTCATGCCCCAGCGAATACCGGGATTTAGCGGAGGTATTTAGCGAGAAAGAATGCGACATCCTACCACCCCATTGGCCCAATGACTGCACCATAGAACTATTACTGGGTGTTCTGTCCCCCGTCCGACTCACACCCCCCAACCAGTCAGCCGAGGGCTAAAAGACTGCTCAGCACTGCCAAAAACACAGATAAACACTTGGCAGCAACTCCGTGGCTGCCTGCCAAGACCTTTACTGATAACTCACAGTACAAATACAAATCAAAGTCCAGGATAATTCTGAAGTGCTACAACAGAAGATTCAGTATTGTTCGTCACAAGAGTTTCAAACGGCACACCCCTTGCTTATATAGCCTGTGGGGTGTGGCCCAGTGACTCAGCTGAAATCTCTGGCACGACGTTTTAGCTGCTGCGCACGTTTGTCCCTCCGACGCTGGCGTGGATCCAGCCAAGACGTATCCTCCTCAGAGTCCGACACACCTGGCTCCTGCCCAATCCCAGAAGCACCTGGCTCCTGGCCAATCCCAGAAGCGCCTGGCTCCTGGCCGATCCCAGAAACACCTGGCTCCTGGCCAATCTCCTCTCTGTCGGAAGACAACGAAGGCCGCACCAGAGGGGAAGGTCCTGGAGAGGGAGGCCTGGCCATCTCCTCTCCTTCATGTTCAGAGCCTTCCTCCTCCGATGATAGGGACCCACAGGACGGAGCCACAACACTGGGCGCTAAACTCCCGAAGCCGAGAATGTACGTCATGACCCCCCTTGAAATGGATGAGCTGCAGCAATATGTGAACAAAAACCTAGCAAGAGGGTTCATTGAGCCGGCCAAATCTCAGGTGGGGGCCCCAGTGTTATTTAAAGAGAAAAAAGACGGATTGCTTCATCTCTGCATAGACTATAAAGGGTTAAACGCTATGAGCATAGAGAACAAGTACCCCTCCCCCTCCCGAAGGACCTACTAACCCACCTAGCGAAGGGGAGAATCATCACTAAATTGGATCTAAGAGAGGCATATTACCGAGTAAGAATAAAAAAGGAGATGAATGGAAAACTGCTTTTAACTGTCCCATGGGGAGCTATCAATTCAAAGTCATGCCATTTGGACTACAGGGGGCTCCAGCTGTCTTCATGCAGCTGATCAATGAGGTACTACATGATCATTTGTACAAAGGAGTTTTAGTGTATCTTGATGATATCCTGATATACAGCACAAATATGGCTGACCACGTGAAGCTAGTGCGAGAAGTGTTAAAGAAACTGTTGAACGCCAAACTATATGTTAAATTATCAAAGTGTGAGTTCCATCAAACCCGACTGGATTACCTAGGCTACAGGATTTCCAGTGAGGGCATTGAAATGGATCCTGGTAAAGTGAAAGACATAATCGAATGGCAACCGCCAAAGACTCGCAAGCAGCTTCAAAGCTTTCTGTGGTTTGCCAACTTTTAGCAACAATTCATCCCCTCATTTGCTGAAATTGCTTTGCCCCTCATGGACTTGTTAAAAACCAGCAAAGATGGGGGAAAGCCCCGACCGGGCCATCCGCTGATAATGGACTATGAATTTCAAACTGCTTTCGAAAACCTGAATATTTGCAGTCGAGCCGGCCCTGGAGCATCCCTGCCTGGGGAAGCCCTTTGTGATTCAAGCCGATGCCAGTGATGTGGCCATCAGAGTTGTATTATTGCAAAAGAACTATGAGGGGGTCCTGCAGCCCTGTGCCTACACCTCGAAAAAGTTCACCGATTGCGAAAGAAGGTGGGCAGTGTGGGAGAAGGAAGCCTTTGCAATTCATTGGGCTCTATTAAACTGGCGGCACTATCTAGAAGGGAGAAAGGTGCCTTTTGAAGTATGATCACAAAAACCTAGAGGCACTGAAAACTCCCCGCAAGCTGTCCCCAAAGCAAGTACGGTGGCACAATATTTTAACCTATTTAACTTCACCCTGAAGTACATACCAGGGGGGGGGAAACGTTTTAGCTGACGCTTTATCCAGATTGCCTCAATACAAGAGCCAGCATGAAGAGGTTAATGAAGCAATCATATCTACACTGCAAGCTGCTTTGCAACTAACGCTACGAAGACCCCCATCTTCGAAAGTCCCAAACCCCGATGACCCTGAGGCGAGAAAATTAAAACAGGAACTCCTCAACAATTGATGGTTCAAAGACAATCAAACCTCCTTGACATGCAGGGATGGTTTGGCTTACAAAGGAGGGAAGTTGTATTTGCCTGAAACCCTCTACCTCAACACTCTCCATTCCAGGGATGTAGAAAACTATGTCAAGAGCTGTGCTGTATGTGCCACTATGAAAAGAATTCTAGGAAAGCCCCCTGGATTATTACAACTGGTTGTGGACCCTTCCCAGCCATGGGAAGAAATTGCTATGGATTTTATAGTGAAATTACCTGAAAGTAGGGGGAATATTGGTGATTTGGACTGTGATAGATCTATTTTCAAAGCAACCTCATTTCATCGCCTTAAAGGATTCCCATCAGCCCAAAAAGACTAACCAAGATGTTTCTGAAGCACATTCACAGGCTGCACGGCGTGCCAAAATGGATAATCTCAGACTCAGGGGTGCAGTTTACGGCCAAGTTCTGGAGGGGTTTCCTCAAGTTAATTGGCTCATCACAAGCACTGTCGTCGGCTTTTCACGGCTGAAAAAGAGAACTCAATGGCGGAGCAGTATCTCAGATGCTATGTGGATTATCAGCAAACGAACTGAACTGACCTCCTCCCTTTTGCAGAGGTGGCTTACAATAACTCTGTTCACAGCAGTACCAGTTTACACCTTTTAAGGTTGCCACAGGAAAAGAGTTCAACCCAATACCCGAATATCCTCAGGAACCTTCTGCTTCCCAAACGCTTGATTAGTGGGTGAGGGGATGGGAGGAGGTTTGGGACAAAATGAAATTTGCTCTGAAAAAGGCTTCTGAGACATAGAAAAAGCAAGCAGATAAAAAGAGGGCTCCCCAAAGATCATTCTAGGTTGGGGAAAAAGTTTACTTATCCACCACGTATTTACGATTTAAGTTGCCCGGTAAGAAATTGGGACCGAAGTGCCTAGGTCCCTTCCCCATCATAAGAATAATTAACCCAGTCATAGACTCTTAGGGAAAGTCCACCCTGTGTTCCATTGTAGCCTACTGAATTTTTTTCGGGGTTCTACTTTACAACCTCCCCCTAAGAAGACACCTGGCCCTCTCGTGGTAGCTGGACAGACTCATTATGAAGTGAAACATATTCTTGATTCTAGACTTTTTAAGGGAAAGTTACAGTACTTAGTACAGTGGAAAGGATATCCATTGTCTGAAGCCACCTGGGTAAAATCTAGTGATATAAAAGCCGACAGGCTCATTAGTAAATTCTATGAGAAGCACCCTAATAAACCAAGGAGCAACCCCTAACCTATGATTTTGTTTGAATTGCAGGATTTGTCCTTTTTGTAAGGGGGGCCAGATGTCAATGCTGCTATGTTCCCGCTTTGACAACTGATGAAAATGCAGCCATTTTCTTCTTTCCTTTAACAGGCTTTTTCTGGTATTTAGAAATCAGGTGCAGAAGGGGGGTTGGAATGAAAGCTCAGCTAGCCATAATAATAACGCTGTTTCGTAGGAACTCAAGGACAAGCTGATAATGTTTGGGCAGGCTGAGGAGCTGGGGAGAAAGCTAAGTTAAGTTAATTGGAGAATGTGATTTATGACAGCTTATTGGGGATGGGAATTGCACTTTGTTACTTTGTATCCGGGGGGAGGGAATTTAGTTTTTGGGTTCAACTATGTAGTGCCGATACCTTGTTTCCCAAATAAAATGTTCTTTAAGGAAGAATTTTGCCTCAAAGTTCTTTTGATGGGTTTCATCTATCAGAGTCACTATGTCAGGTGTGTCAAACTGCTGCCCGTAGGCCGGACACGTCATCCAGAAGCCGCACCCACCCCATTGCCGGCAATGGCAAAACCGTCCCGATACGTTGCGCGATGTCACGTGATGTTGCGAGTTTGACATGCCTGCACTATGTGATCATGACCTATTTTATGACCTTTTTTGCAGCGGTCATTTAGTAAACATGTAAGTTAAGCAAAACTATTGTCCCCAGGGGGCATTTTTTTGCCTGAAACTGGAATTTTTCTGGCAAAAAGCACGTTGTAAATCATGGTCACATAACTGCTGTATGCTGTAAATGGGTATGAATGCATGCCAGCTGACCACAGGAGGGGGGCAGCCATTTTAGAACTTCAAAGCTGGGTAATAAGTAACCCTGGGGAGGTCACTAAACAATCAGCCATTAATCAAGAACTGTCTGTATCTATATTGTAACATCTCTTGGTTTCAGTTTCTGCCACCTCATAACATTTTTTTCAAATGTATATTTTGTATTTATCAGATTCATAATGGTTTTTTTTTTACAAATATCTGAGCTTTAGCCTACACACTATTGGTCACATAAGATGCACATTTGGAAATAAGGATGGTTGCACTGAGTACAAGACCTCTCCCTAATCATCAAAATTATATGAAGGTGTCAGAGAGCCAAAAATCTCCTGCAAAATACTGTAGTTACATTTTATATTTTACTTTGTTCTCATTTGAACACTGGACAATTTTGCTCAAACATTAATATCGTCTAAAAGATTTCCCTCTCCCTCATTGGACATATGAATAGAGAACTTACCTATAACCATCATAGATTGAATCATTCAAGTAGATCACATGGCCATCGGAGAGAACTAATTGTTGCCCTGCTGGAGCATTATATGAAACCAATCCATCTGTAAAGGAATAGAAGCAGAGTTACTTTTGTTTTTTTTCTTTTTTACAACTAACACATTTTATTACAAGGCACAAGCTTTGTAAATTGCAGCTTGCTTCTTTAGATGCATAGAATGGCTAGACTGATGTAAGTTTAAATTGGAGGTGGGGGAGGAAGGGAAAATAGGATGGTTATGAAATACAGGTTACATGCAAGACAGATTACAAGTACCTTATCAATTAGTGTAATGTGTTAAACACCTAATGCATTTATTGAAAACCTCCTTCAGCTGCCTGAAACATAATAAAATTGTTCAAAAATATTCAATATGTCCAGTTGAAATGTTTTGCTTCATTTTGTAATTGTAAGTCAAGTATAAGTGTTCTTTTCCTTTAATTATAATCTTTAGTTCCCTCTAGTGTCCAATTTTAAAATTTTTATATTGAGTTTTCCTATGGGAAGGATTCTTTATAATTAATTCCAAAATCTTATTTCAAATTTATCTGGACCTTTAATCCATTTTGCTAAAATCAAAGTTTTAATTATCCTTTTGCTGTATTCCAAAATATTTTTTTAAAGTTCTTAAACTTGTAATTAAAACTGTCTTTCACTAAGGATTGAAGGAAATCCCCCAGTACTGTCAAACCTGTCAATCCAAAAGTTCATAATAGCTGAAAAGCAGCTAACAAGCAATTTCTGAAATTGATAAGAAATTTTTGCTAATATAGTGTCCTTTCAAAGGCATCGATTGCGATTTGAGCAATATGGCTGTTCTCTCATCTCTCAAAGCACTACATCTGCTGGAGACTGCTAACTTGCAGTCTCATCATGAAGAGCAGCTGTCTGGGGCACACGTGGATGATCTCAAGTGCTCTCTTTGTCCAGAGAGGAATTATCAAAAAGCCGGTGTACAGGCTCTGCATTCTGCTCCAATCATTGGCTCTCCTTTTCAGAGCCATCTTCAGCCTGACATTTCTTCCACGGAAGTCACTCTTGTTTTTTGTTATTGATGATAGTAAGACAAGCTTTGAAAATCAGTTTAGAACTGACAGAGCCTGAAGGCTGGGAATGCATCCATTTCCAGAACTATTGACTGAGCTGAAATTATTAATGCTATATCAGGAATGAAAGGAAGCTGTAAGCAACTCCATTTCAGTCTTATAAAGTACACTAAAACCATCTTTCTTTTTGCATAATTTAATAAATCCAGCCTCTGCACAGAGATAGTACATTTGTTTTCTGCCTTTAAAATTGTTTCCATTTCACATATTACTTCAGCACTGAAGAAGCTTCTTGGATGAGAAGCAAAATGTTTTCAAAGAAAAAATCAAGATAGTCCAGCTGCCTTTTGGAAAAGCACCTTTGGAACTAATATAAAACAATTAGGATTCGGACACTAGCAAACTAGAGTGTCAATCAATCATTGCAATGGTGATCAAACATTAATATAGACTATATATTGCTACAGTGATAGAGTGATGTTACAATGTTCTAGCACAAAAATCTTCAGTTTGGATTTTTCTTGAACCAGTCCAATTAACACAAGACACTTAATAGCAAAAAAAGGAAAACTCTCCCAAGAACCCAGTGTCAGTCAATACTCTGTTATCAATAATGAAGACACACATCTCATAAGAAACAGAAATCAAAGCATATTTCCAAGCAAATGTAAGTCCAATTTCATTCCACAGCTCCAACATGCATTATGTTGCTATGGTAGAATATCTGGGGAATGGCAACGGGATCTACTCAAACATCACCAAAAAACCTCTAGCTGGTTCCGCTTAGGCAAATCAAGACTATCTGTAAAAATCAGCTTTTGTTTAAGCTTATAAAATAATAATTTCTTGTGCTTATCTCTGGATAGGAAAGGTGCATTTGCATTGCACACAGTCAGAGAGTAGACTTGTTTTTCTAGATCAGTGTTTCTCAATCTCAGCAACTTTAAGATGTCTGGATTTCAGTTGAGAGTTAATGTTTACACATCTTAAAGTTTGCTGAGGTAGAAAAACACTAGACAATTGGAGGCCCATCTCCACAAACATCTACCCTTTGCATCTTTTAGCCTATTAATAATTTGGGCCTTAGGACTTCTCCTTTATCTATCTGCTGTTCCCTGACTGAAATATTCCTTCAATGTGAATTCTCTTCAAAGGTTGTTGTACTTACCCAACCAAACACAACCATACAGCTCGACTCTGAGACACACATTTGTAGAGTGATCAGTCACAGGGATGAAGCGAATGAATCTCCCAATAATAGGCGGTTCCAGGTCCTTGAGGACAATGTCATATGGATTAGTGTTTCCTTCAAGTACCTGAGGAGAAGAAAAGGAAATGAAAGGCGGAGGAGAAGGTTGCTGGCCAGGGTGCAGAAGCAGAACGAATTGAGTCATGGTAACTGTATCATGTGACATCTAAACATGTATGAAGATAATGTAGCATATTTCCATTTGGTTCAATTCAGAGTATTTCCACGTGAGCCACTGGTACCAGTCTAGACCCACAATCATGCAATATTGGCTAGTTTTAAAGAAATTGAGCCATTTCTGTTTTATTTTGCCATAATTTATTTGAAACCGGAGCAAAGCATTTTCTTTGTCACACTGACTTTGCTGTATCAACTCAGCCAGAGCTCCTAAGTACTAGGACAGTCAATACACCTTCATCCAACTATTCAGAAGAAGGTAAATATACATAAACAGCAGCAAAAGCCTCAAGAGAAGCCTGGAAAGGGAGATGGAAGATTAAACCTTAACTAACCTTTGCTCACTATTTTGACCAGTAGCTGATGGGCTCCTATAGAACTCCTCTATCATCTTGCCAAGCCTCCATGATATACACTACAGTTGCCCTATAGCACGGGTCGGCAACCCGCGGCTCCAGAGCCGCATGCGGCTCTTTCAGCCGTCTCCTGCGGCTCCCTGTCCTCAGCTGCCATGTGCAGTCCAGAAAAAAAAAGTAGGACTAAAAAAGTTCAACCAATCAATTCAAACTTCTCACGAAGTTTGAATTGATTGGTTGAACTTCTTTTGTTTGTGGGACTGCCCACAAACCTCTTTCCTTCTTTTGACTGCACGTGGTGGCAGCGGAGGAAGAGCCAGAAGGAATGCTGGAAAGGCGGCAGAACCTGGGTAAGGAGCCAGTCTCGGGATGCCTCTTCCCTGCCCAGTGGGTCTCCCCTCGCCCTGCTCTGCTGCGGCCTCTGCCTCTGTTAATTGGAGGGGGGTCGCCAGGGGTCTCAGTAGCTTCCCCACTCCGCCCGCGCCTTTTGGCCATCTCGCGGGTCGAGAGATTCCCCCGCGGGGCCTGCCCAGCCCTTTCCCCACGTGCTGCGTGGCGCCTCTTGGCTGTCCTCCCGCTGCCGCCGCTGCTGTGAGACTCTCCGCCACCCGGCCCCACCTTGGCCCGGGCGGCCGCGCCCGTTCACCTTCCTCCCGCTGCCGCCATGGGGCTGTCCGCCAGCCGGCCCCACCTCGGCCCGGGCAGCCGCACCCCTTCGCCACCGGCGGGAGTACCGAAGGTCCAGAGGGTTCCCTCCTGCTGCGGAGCCACAGTGCCTGGGCTGACAGGCAAGGGTGTGTGGGGGTATTCGGGGCCTAAAAAGTCCTCCAGGACAGGCTCGGGGCCGGCCCTCTTTCCCTGGCCACAGGAGAAAGGGCGGCGCAGGGTCTCCAATCAGATGGGCGAAACCCGAAACCTTTTGTGTTTGTTTGCAGAGTTGTTTGTTTGCAACTCTGGACAGAGTTGAAAATGTACGTTCCCAGCAGGTATTAAATCGGTCTGGATCAGCGTTTCTCAACTGCAGCAACATTCGGCCCGGAGAGGGGGAGCTGGACGGGGGCAGGGCCGGTGCATGTGTTGCCTTAGGCTCCACTCTTTAATCAAGCTGTTACGGGTGCGCGCGCATGCGCGCGCGCATGCACACATTTTGCGGCTCCTAGTTTTTTCTTTTGTGCGGGAAACGGGTCCAAGTGGCTCTTTCACCGTTTCAGGTTGCCGACCCCTGCCCTATAGTGTCCCAATATAACACACTGACTCTGATTTTTATATATGAATATAGATTATGTGTTTGTACAAGAATATATTATAATTGGATTATGTGCCAGCAAATTGGTGTTGACTTAGTGACCACATAGATTGGCCTCCTCCAAAACAATATGTCCCCAAATCTGGCTCTTCAGGTTCTTCTACGGTGCACCCATTGCTGCTGTAATTGAGATCACCAATCTTGCAGCTGGTAGTCCTTTTTCTTTATACCCCAATATTATGGCCCTCTCAAGGGAGCATAAGTTATCCAAAATAGAGAGTGTTACTATGACTATTTCACAAGCATAGTGTCAACGCTGCTAACATCGGATGTTCTTGCTTTGACAACAGATGGAAATGTAGCCATCTTTTCTCTTTTGCTTTTAGAGTTAGATGATGCTTGGAGGGGGGATGTGGATGAGAGTCCAGTTAGTCATAAGAACAATAACTCAGCCGTGGGAATCAAGGTTATTGTGCCCAGAACTGATAAAGATTTGGTGGACTGGAGAGCTGGGGAGAGAGCCCACGCTTCAAGCTAATTGGGGAATGTGATTTAAGACAGTTAATTGGAGGAGGGAATTGTGCCCGCCAACTCCTACCAAGGGGAATCCCCAGTCCCCCCTGAGCAGATCAGGCAGCCTCCCCATCCTCGAAGCCACTGACCATGGCCTTCAGCCCTGTGGGGAGAGACAGCTCCAGTCGTCGCCCCTCCAAAAGCCCAGATTGCCACCAATGGGATAAGAGCCCAAGCTGTCACCGGGACAGCCACATCCTGGATCGATGTGCTTACCGGCCACCCAGCCCGGGGCCCACACAACAATGGGGAATGTCGCAGCCTCCCCAGGTGGGAAGCCAACAGTCGCTGGCGGTGCAGCAGCTGAGCTGGGGGGACCTTGCAACAACCGGGGGTGATGCAGCCACCAGGGGGTCAGCAACCGCTGGGAGCACTGCAGCAGCAGTTGGGCTGGCCGTCGCCTCTGGACGTGCAGGAACCGCTGAGTGGCCCACAACCGATGGGGATCCAGCAACAACCACCTCCGGGGCCGCAGAGGGGCCTGCAGCAACTGGGGGCATTACAACGCTCCATAGGCCAGCAGCAGTGGGGATGGCAGAAGCCCCCACCCATGCAGCAACCGCTGGGAGGCCTGCAGCAGTTGGGGGTGCCATTACAGTACCCACTGAGACTGGTGGGGGTCATAAAGCAACTGGGGGTACCACTGCTGCCAGCAATGCAACAACAGCCGTGGTGGTGGCAACAGCCCCCGGGCGTGCAACAACCGCTGGGAGGCTTGCAGCAACTGGGGATGCAGCAGCCACCATGGGGGGAGGTAGCAACAATTGGGGATGCAACATCCACAGTGGGGAGGCCAGCAGCCACTGATGGTGCCACCTTTTAGAGCCACCTTCGATGGGGACCCGGAGAAGCTGATCTTTTTCCTCAATCAGGTGCGCTCCCACTTAATAATAATAATAATAATAATAATAATAATAATAATAATAATAATAATAAAGTTGGAAGGGACCTTGGAGGTCATCAAGTCCAACCCCCTGCGCAGGCAGGTAACCCTATACCATTTCGGACAAATGGCTGTCCAGTTTCTTCTTAAAAACTTCCAGTATTGGAGCATTCACCGCTTCTGGAGGCAGGTTGTTCCACTGGTTAATTGTTCTAACTGTCAGGAAGTTTCTCCTTAGTTCTAGGTTGCTTCTCTCCTTGATTAGTTTCCATCCGCTGCTTCTTGTCCTGCCCTCAGGCGCTTTGGAAAATAGCTTGATTCCCTCTTCTCTGTGGCAGCCCCTGAGATATTGGAACACTGCTATCATGTCCCCCCTCGTCCTTCTCTTTATTAAACTAGACATATCCAATTCCATCAACCTTTCCTTATATGTTTTAATCTCCAGTCCCTTAATCATCTTTGTTGCTCTTCTCTGTACTCTTTCCAGAGTCTCAACATCTTTTTTACACCGTGGTGACCAAAACTGGATGCAGTATTCCAAGTGTGGTCTTACCAAGGCATTGTAGAGTGGTATTAATACTTCGCGTGATCTTGATTCTATCCCTCTGTTAATGCAGCCTAGCACTGTGTTGGCTTTTTTGGCAGCTGCAGCACACTGCTGGCTCATATTTAAATGATTGTCCACTAGGACTCCGAGATCCCTCTCACAGTTACTACTATTGAGCAAGGTACCCCCTATACTATACCTATACATTTGGTTTTTCTTGCCTAAATGTAGATCCTTACTTTTTTCACCACTGAATTACATTTTGTTAGATAGCGCCCAGTGTTCAAGTCTGTCCAGATCCTCCTGTATCCTAAGCCTGTCTTCTGGAGTGTTGGCTATTCCTGCTAGCTTGGTGTCATCTGCAAATTTGATGAGTTCCCCATCTATCCCCTTGTCCAAATCATTGATGAAGATGTTGAAGAGCACTGGGCGCAGAACAGAGCCCTGGGCACCCCACTACACACTTCCCTCCATGTAGATGTGGTTCTATTGAGGACCACACGCTGAGTACAGCCGGTCAGCTGTGCCTATTTCTATCCAAACCCAGCCGCTATGGTCAATGTGATTGCGTCCAGCTTGGAAGGAGAAGCATCCGAGTGGCTCAACAATTTATATAATGAGCAAGCACCCGAGTTAGAGGACCCTCATCTCTTCCGTCTAGAACTGAGAGCAGCGAATTGCCCAGTCCCTTACCTTCAGAAGCAGAATAGACCGGGACCACCAGCAAGAAAGAAACCAACCCAGCAGCCAACAAAAGAGAAATCCAACTGGATTGCCCAGGAACCCGTTGCCCAAGTCACATCCCCCACGCAGGAGAGTGCCGAGACCCAAGCCGGACCTGCTGCTGCTCTACCTCCTATGACAGTGACAACAAAGGAGAGAACAACCCGATGGTGAGTCGACATGTCCCACCTTTTTCATTACCTGCCAAACTCATAATCCCTAAGACAGGGGCACAGGTAGATTTAAAAGTACTAGTCGACTCTGGAGGCTCCCGGTGCATTATTAGCTTGTTACTTGCACAGAAAATGGGCATATGAGCAAGGCTGCTCTCCAATTCCCTGAGGTTTGAACAAGCCAATGGCTCCCTAATGAGAGGAACTTTAGTCACGCAATTGACCGAACCTCTACACTTAGAAATAGGTGAGCACTGGGAGTTCATTTGTTTCATGGTGGCTCTGAAAATGACTGAGGCTGTGATCCTAGGGCTAGCCTGGGTGGACAAATAAAAGTCATTTATCTGGTGGGAGAAAGGAATGAGGACTGTGAGGTTACCTATAGGACC